CCGGGTAGGAAAAGCTTAACATTCCTGGACGACTGTGAAGATTGCTAAGTCGAGGCGCAAGCCGAGCTATCCAAATTGAATACCGAATGTACATTTTGTATGTTATCATTTAAAATATGAGTTAGTATTAAATCTTCTATAACCTCGTCATTTGCTTCAACTAATATTGCTTGTTCTAAAATGTCTTTCATATTTCTGTAGAAAAAATTTGAAACCCAAAATGTACAAAACCAGACAAAATATATACCTTGGATGAAAGAAAACAAAAAAATTATTTATTTTGCTGTCACATACGACATTTGACTGACAGCTGCCAACTATTAACGTGAAGCACCAATTCGACTATTTGATAACTCTAAAATTACATATCCGTAAAACTTTATACTGTAAAAAATAGCGTTTACGTGTCAAAATAACGGAAGGATAAAATTTTACTTGATAACTCTCTAATTTCGGCAACATATTTGTATTAAAGAATATTTTGTATGACGGATTGTTCGATTCGGCGCAATCACTGTGACGAGACGTGACTGATGTGTCTGAATCGACCTTTAGTTCACCGGACGTATTATGGACGTTCGTTAAGGTCCAATTCACGTTCCTGTACGTCCAACGAACGTATGCTCGGGACGTTAAAAGGACGTCCTTGGGGCCAAAGCGAAAGCGGATGTTCGAGGGACATACTTAAAGTCCGTGAGAGATATTCACAGGAGGTACGTGTGCTATTAGGGAATAGTTTACGCATAATATCGTTGTAGATAAAAGCTTTCAAAGGCTTTTGCAATAAGTGAAATTTTTATAGCTGAATATACGTGATATCATATTACCGAAATCATAGTTGTTATTTCTGCCATTTCTGTCATTTTCTTTCATCGGATGCCGTTTTTTGATTATAACTTCACCTAGAGAATATAATAATAGAGAATTATATTAAATCATCTTATATATCAGGCAGGTGAAAGACCACGAAAAATGCAATTGTCTAAATGAAGCTCATAATATTTGGCTATTGCATTTAGAAACTAGAAAATTTCGTTTCTTTTTACACAATTTTCTTTTATCTTGACGTCTGAAAGATCTCAGTTTTTAGAGCTGGAAGTAGCTGTTCATGTCCTAAAATTTGTCGCCTATTTTGTTTTACCATAAACTTATGGTGAATTCGATCCATTGAGTTTACCCAAAAACTAGCTCCATCTTTTCAAACACATTATGCTTACTGAATCAAGCAAACACAAACAAGATCAGCAAAAACGTTTTTTTTAGTTCCTAACAATTATAATACAGCCAGTATTTACTTTTTTTTTGTAAATGCCATAGTGGATAAATTTAACGATTTTGCTTTCACAGAATTACACTTCTTAAATATAAGATCCCTGGAAAATCTAGTATAATCACTGAGTATAGAACATCAAAATATTGTTCTGAAGCTATTTTCTTGTGGCATTGTAAATTAATTACTATTTATAACTGGGAATAAGCCACAATTAAAGATAAAATACGTTTATTGACGTTTCAATTTCCAATTCGGAAATCGTTCTCAAAATACAAACAGTAAACAATTTACTGTTTGTATTTTGAGAACGATTTCCGAATTGGAAATTGAAACGTCAATAAACGTATTTTATCTTTAATTGTGACTTATTGCCAGTTATAAATAGTAATTAGAACATCAAAGTTTACAACCTAGTATGATCAGGGTATTCAATAGAGTAACTACTTGGATTCTTTCAACTACGTCGATGGGACGAATATATAAAAAATGTTCTAGAATGTACTAAGCCGCTTAGGCCATAATTCATGGAGAATCCGACCTGGTAGCGCATATTAAAGCAGCTAACCTAGGATGGAAAAATGTTATATATGTGATCTATCCAAGAAGCTGAAGAGGCAGACGAGATCGAGGAGGACCTCGTAGTAGGTCTATGACAGAAGACCGTAATTAGTGGTCACATGAAAATAAATAACCTTTAACAGCTTTTTAGGCTTTTTACAACCTCAATAAAAATGTAATCAAATAAAAAAAAAAGATACTTAAATCGTAAATACAATACATGCATTTTTTATTAAAATTCAACCAATCAACATTTACTTATCACCAAATTCTTAATGACTTTTATCTTTATTGTTTTTAATTCCTCATCCACGCGCTGCATATAATCAGAGATACCACAATCGGACAAAGCACTTGTAAACGGTACCTACACGTACTTCATTAACAGTACAGACCCACATGTTCGTCTTATCCTTGTCGTAAGCCATAAAATTCGTAGTAATGAATGCCAGCGCGTTCACTTCTAGTTCAGGACCAGGTGGATGTTACGCCCGATAGTCGCTTATACCAGGTGGGTTGTGACTGAGTACCCATGGTCACAAATAAAAAATGTTGCCGATTTTTGACAACTTAGTTATATATTATATATTTTTATGATATGTAAAATCGAGAAAAATATTGGTTTGCTTAAAATATTTCAAAGTTCCAAAACATTAAAATAATTCAGATAAGTAGGATAATAAACAACAAACATTTCGAAGAAGGAAAGTCTTTAAATTTTTGGATTACCTGTATTGAACAAAACGTAAGATATGCATAAATTATTTTCTTTGTTAAAATATATTTGAGTGACCTGCATAAGCTTAAGTGAAATCCTAGACAATGGAAGCGGGTTTTCCAAATAAATTTGTGCAGTAATTAGGACAATAGAATAGATTTTAGAAAGATATGTTTTTGTTAGTTCATAAGAATTGGTAGAAAAAGATTATTTTGTAAATAAGTTTTAGGAAATTTTATAATTGTAGGTAAAAATTTGTTTGTGTTATCGAAATGAAGAAATGGGAGATGTATGACGCGTTTTGATTGGATGAGATTGAAAAAGGTAGGATGGTTGGTTTGAGAATAAGACGTTAGTTAGTTTTGGAAGAAAAAAAGATAGTCAGTTGGTTTTCAAGGGTACAAGGCGAAGGGCCGTTGTTCTCGGGTAGTTTCCCAAAGGTAGGAAGCAGTAGCAGTGAAAGTTTGTGAGTTTTCGTGTAGTTAGTGTATCTGACAGAAGCTGATCCAGTAAAAGGTTGTAAGTCATATTTTTCTACTTATATTCCAAGAGTCACTGTTCAGGCCAACGAGAGATTCAGTTTATCGTAAAGAGAAGATATTCCAAGAGTCATTTTTCACTCAGGCCAACGAGAGATTCAGTTTATCGAGAGGAGAAGAGGCTAGCATAATTTGAACGATTCGTGCATTTGAAGGAGATCATTAAGGACGATAAACTTGCAACAATTTGTTGTAAGATTGCTGATTACCTAGGGAGCTGCTAAGAGTATATAGTATAGGCTACAAGGAACAAGGATTTGGACCACTCATCATCAGAGATAGTTTTGTTTTTCTGCAGATTTTCTTTTATTGATAACACAATTTTTACACTTACTTTAGAAAAGATATAAATATTTTGATTAGGAGATTTAGAATAATAATTGGGATTTTGAGATTTTAACTAATATTGTTTGTACCATTAATTTTGAACGTTCACGTACGTAGAACAAAATTTTGAGAATCATTATATGAGATATTGTTTATTGAAAACATTTGAGTGTGAATTTTATTTCATTATTTTTATTTCAATATATAATGTTAGATCCTATATGTTTTTTTATTATTCCTGTATTCTTTGGACCTTACCTTTCACATGTAATAGCATAGATATTGAAGCACGAATATAACCCTGAGATAAGAGTGTAAAAAGTGTGATAGAATCATAGTCATATCCTTTAAATAATTTTAATTAATTAATTAATTAATTAGCTAATTAATTGCTTGGCGCACCAAGACTTTAAATATCACATTAACTGGCTTCCAAAACGTGGGGCTTGAAAATATCGCAGCTTTAAATTTGAAGGAAGGGAAAGAGATCTGGAATAAGTACAGGTGATCCAGAGATAAAAACATATAACATTGAGGGAATTTGAATTTGAAAGTATTTTAACAATTTTTCCAGTGGATTAAAATTTGATTTATTGATTGATCGTAGTTAGTTGATATTTACTGCTATTGAATTATTTGATTTTTATATTCTTTACCAATCGTACATTTGATATTTATTTTGAATTGTTTGAATTTTACTGATTGCATATTTGATATTTGTCGTGAAAATTTATTACAATTGGGGAGAAATATTGTCGTGTCCTGCAACGTATAGAGTGGTGTAAAATTTCACATTTGACGGGGACAAAAACATTAACGAAAAGAAACAACATGTCGACCACAAGGAGTCAAAGCAAAATGCAAGAAAGGAAGGAGGATAACAGAGAAGAGGAAACAATTGTTGAAGAAGGATCGGATAATGAAGGAAATGTTACAATAATAGAGGAAAGAAAAGAAACAGGGATGTTAGAAAAATTATTAGCAATGATGCAAATACAGACACAACAAATACAAGAGAATCAAAGGGAAACAAAACAAACAATGAATGAAACATCAAAGAAAATTTATAGAAATCAACTGGAAACAAAACACATAATGGACGAAAATAACCGCAGACTGGAAGAAAACCAGAAGGAAACTAAACAGGCAATAGAAGAAAACAACAAAAACATAGAAAGTATCAAGAAAGATATGGTACAGAAAATAGAAGTAATTGTACAGGAAAATGCGAAAGTGAAGACAGAAATTAAAGAAATGAAACTTCAAATGAAAGATATGAAGACTGTCCAGAAAAAGGAATTAGAACAGTTAGATACTTATTGATTTGAATAAACGTATATTACTACTACTATATATATATATATATATATATATATATATATATATATATATATATATATATATAATAATAAACAGTACCCAGATATTTTCAAGAAAACGAGACAGTATTTGCAAGGTCATTTGCTCCAGGTGGTCAAAAGTGGCTTCCTTCCAAAATAATTTTACGTCGTCATTCTTCTGACCAAATCAGAACCCGTGTGTGTGTGACCAAGAAACAACAAACGAAGTTACACCGTCAACCTCGATGGAAACAAAATTACTCGTAACTCCGCAACCGGTGTTTCTGCATTCAAACGAATTTTTGGATCCAGAACCAGAAATTGTAGAGCAGGCCGCTGAAATTAAAAAGCCACCTGCTCGAACAAGAAAACCTCCAAGGTATTTGGAGGACTATGATGAGTAGATTCATCCAGGAGTGAGGAGTGTGATGTATTGGCAACCATGCAGTGCGGTTACGTCACAATCAGTTGGGAAGAGACTCAGGACGAGACAGACGAGACAATCGTTTAATTAATGAATATTTATTTCTATTACGTTTTGTAGTGATAATTAAAGTCGGTAGTATTTCCTATACTGTTGTTATTATTTACAACCCAGTCGGATAGTTATCGTTATCTTTTTTATCAGTTTCACCATACATAATCATGTTTATATTTTAAAGACGTTTACGAAAGTTTATGAAAATATATTCTTTCAAACGACGATATCAAACCCACAATGGCAACTTTAGTAAACAAAGCGACCGTTGTCTTGTAGACGACTTCCACCAGGTGGTTGTCAGTCACGGGGTTCGCGATGTTTAGCTATCAGTAACTATTACCTCCATAGCGAGAACCCACTCAAGCATTAAGACACGAAATGGAGCTCTTCAAGCTGCCGGGTGTCTTCGTAGGGGTGTGCAAACGATCGAGGAAGTGGAACTTTGTTCGTACGATAACTACCACCGGGCTCGTGCACTTAGTCAGAGCGTGAATTTAATTATTTTTTTTAAACTAGGTAGGTATATATAACTATCATAAGAAATAGTATTAATAAAAAATATTTTCCGAATACTTTAAAACATCTATAATAGAGGTTCACACATTAAACTTATATCTGACCATAATCGGATTTGAAATATTAAAATTTGCACTTCGGCAAAACTGTGGCTGATTTACTGGTTTAAAACATTTATAACTTAGGTATGAATAATAAAACTTGAGGTAGTCATTAACTTTGTTATTTTTAAAGAAACACTTTATATATTAGTATCGTTTTAGATTTTGTTTAAAATTTTAGACAGATTATGCATGAGGTTCTATATATCAAAAATTGATATTTTATGAGTTATTCATCTTCAAAAAAAAATATTTTGTATACAATGACAACTCACCTGCTTATAAACATAGTCTCTAGAAGATCTCTACACACGGAAATTAGAAAATAATTTAATGTTTTTCATGAATTTGCATGGGAATCGGAATTCTAAATAAAGATTTTATTTATCATATGGCAATTACAACACATTTAGAACAAAATTACAAACACTAGTAATATAGGTATATGACAAACTTTAAATAATTACAAACAAACATCAAGTGTATTAACATAATCAATTGACTCTGAAGTTGCAAACAGGAAGTCTTCAGGGCTACCGTTATAAGATCTTGAGGGACACTCTTCAATAATGTGGTCGATCGTTTGGTCCTTCCCACAGTCACATTGAGGAGACGGATTCTTTCCCATTTATGTAGCATGTATGCACATCTGCCATGTCTGGTTCGGATCCTGTTTAGAGTGGACCATGTTTTACGTGGAAGATCAAAACCTGGTGGCTTGTGGGTAATACAGGGCATGTTATTTTGCCATGCATTCCATTCTTGGGACCATGCATTCGTGATGTTGAACTCCTCATATATCATTCTTGCCGTTTTCATTGGTGGTTTTCTAGAACGTAGACGGGTATTTCGTGCATCCTCGGTATCTTGGTGGATCGGCAGGTTTATATTGTTCATGATCTTTTTGTATTCACGTGTAAGTGCGTCAACTCGTCGTAAATGTGAAGGTGGAATGTGACTTAATACTGGAAGCCATTGGGTGGGAGTTGATTTAATTGTACCAGATATCATCCTCATAGTGCTGTGCAGCTGAGTGTCGACCTTTTTTACGTGTGGACTGTGTAGCCAAACTGAGGCACAATATTCAGCGGTCGAGAAAACAAGGGCTAAAGCAGTAGAGCGGAGAGTGGAAGCCGATGCTCCCCAGGTGGTACCGCAGAGCTTCTGTATAATGTTATTTCTTGTACTCAACTTTTGGGCAGTTTTTGTTAAATGCTCTTTAAATGATAGCGTTCTGTCTAGTGTTACGCCCATGTACTTCGGTGTTTTGTTGTGGGAAAGTGTGGTATTTTCAAACCGTATGTTGAGTTCCTCTCCAGCAAGTTTATTGTTCAGGTGAAAGCAACTTACTTCTGTTTTGGATGCATTTGGTTGAAGCCGCCACTTGCGAAAATATTTGCTCAATATATATAAGTCTGCCGTCAGAACTTCTTCAGATGTTTCTAGTGTTCGGCATTGTGTAGTGAGGGCCCAGTCATCGGCGTATCCGAACTTTCTTGATTGTGTTTCTGGCATATCTGCTAAATATAAGCTAAATAGTAATGGAGAGAGCACTGACCCCTGTGGTAGGCCATTTTTAAGTTTCTTTGGTGGGCTGATATATGTGCCCATCACTACTTGAAACATTCGGTCGTTGAGCATGCTATCTATTAAACGTGCTATTTGTTTACAGGAAATTGCAGGGAGAATTTTGTATATAAGGCCCTCTCTCCATACTGTATCGTAAGCTGCCGAGAGATCAATAAATGCCGCTGAAGTTTTAAGTCTTCTTTGAAAACCCGCTTCGATGTAGGTGGTGAGTGACATGACCTGGTCCGCGCAGCTTCGTTCTGGTCGAAAACCCGCTTGTTCGACTGGGATCACCTGGAACAGTTCTGTACTGATTCTATTATATATAAGCATCTCTAATAGTTTGTAGATGGCAGAGAGAAGCGCAATTGGTCTGTAGTTTTTTGGGTTGTCAGCGGGTTTGCCTGGCTTTGGTATGGCTATTATCTTAGAGCGCTTTAGTTCTTGTGGGATATTTCCAGTTTCCATGATGTCTGTGAAAAATCGAGCCAACCAAACTTTTGTATACTTGCCACAATTTAGTAGGAATTCAGGGTGAATATTATCAAATCCTGGTGCTTTTGCTGGCTTAACATCTTTTAGAGCCTCTGATATGTCTTCGCTGGTGAAGGGGAGGGAATGCTCCGTTTCTGTGGCTACATGTTTTAAAGTTTTAAGTTCTCTCTTTACGTAGATAGTGTGTGCTTTATCCTTTGGTGCTCTGGATGTTTTTACTATATGTGATGCTATGGCATCTGGCTTTACGGCTGCCTCTTGGCGTTTCGTACGGACACCACTCCCTAATTTTTTTAGTAATGACCATGCCTGTCTGCTTGATTTCTGGAAGTTTAGACTTTCTACTGTTTCGGTCCACTTTTGTCTTCTAGCGGCGTCTAGGCTGTACAGTAGTTCATCCGCTATTTCTTGGTCGCCAGTTTCAAGAAAGCTCTGATATAGTTCCTCGCTATTTTCCGACCAGCCAGGAACATATTCTTTGCGATATCCTCTTGGTATGTGTTTTTTGGCTACACTTAGCACGGCACCAACAAATCTGTGGTAGTTTTTGATATTCGGTGTAATCCACCCTAGACATTTATCTAGATCCACAGAGAAGTCAATCCAGTTGGCCTTTTTAAAATTCCATCTTGGACGTGGGATAGAACTAATTAAAGGAATTTGCGTCCCTACTTCTATTATTACTGGTCGATGTTGGCTGTGTGGGAAATCAGTTAGAACTCTTCGTGAAGCCACTAAAGGTAAGTCTTTGTTGTCGGTCGAGACGAAGCATAGGTCGGGGTTGTATTCCCGCCTCCATGCCGCAGATCTGAAGGTTGGTCGATCTTTGGCATCAAACAAAAGGTATAGGCGTTCGTCTTCTGCCCATTTTATTAAAGCATTCCCATTTGCATCACTATTTTTGTACTTCCACTGTTCATGATGGCTATTGTAATCTCCAACATATACAGCAGGGTGAGGCTGTACTGGAATTGCTTGGACTGGCCAATAAGTAGCAGGTGGCTTGTAAATGTTGGACATGGTAATGCTAGCGATTTTTGTGACCACATTATAAATACAGTCATCAGTGGAAGTAGAGATTAGCGAAGCATTTTCAATATCTTCTTTGACATATGTAGCTGTGCCATATGTTCGGTGGTAAGTTGCGCCTAATAGTTCATATCCCGGAATTTTGCCCCTTTTTTGTAGTTGCTCCTCTGTTTCGCAGTGGGTTTCCTGTATAGCAACTAAGTCAATGTTGTCATCTTTTAATAGTTTTGATAAAAACTGGCTTTTTGCATAGCTTATGCCTTCTATGTTTATGTGGCAAATTCGAACTATAGGTCCGATTGGTCTAGTTGTGCGGTCCTCACAAGGGCCGTTTATTTTGTTTATCATCTTTCGTTGGAAGTGTTGTTTGGTCAGGAGATCCTAAGGATTGTCTGACTGCCAGTATGTGCTAGTTCATTTAGCATTACCCAGGGTGCACGTGTAGTATTCTACTACGGACGCGAACTAGCTCTACAACCCTCTATAATTTCTAAATAAAGAATTTACAAATAACACGTAGTTTTCCAAATCACAAACCACAAAATAGAATCAATAATTTTTAATGAACACTTTGTATTTTATGACTTTATAAAATAAGAATTCAAGTACCTTACAAATATCAGTTTAATATATATATATATATATATATATATATATATATATATATATATATATATATATATCCTGGTGAGGTACTAACGCGATTATCAACGGCAAACTCTAATTCAGCTCTTGAAAAAGGTGTTAAGACAAAATGATTGTGATCAGATGAGAGAGTTTTAGATGGCATTACATCTATCTGGTTATTTACGTAAGGTGGAGCTATTTTATCAAAAATGTCGTCTACCCATGAGTTACTTAGAGACAGTGGAAAGTTTACTTTTTTCCTGTTCATTTTCCTTGCTTGGTTCCAAATAAGACTAGATGGAGTTTGTTTATTTAATTTTGAACACCATTCAACCCAACTTTGTTTGGCCTTTAATTTCAGGAATTGTTTGACACGAGCATTCACTTGTTTGCATTTACAAAAAATTTCAAGAGAAGGATTTTTTTGTAGTTTACTAATGCTTTCTTTCTTTCCGCAACGGATTCATCACATTTCGAATCCCACCATGGATGGGGAGTACGTTTACATTTAAATGATTTATATTGGCAAATTGATTGTTTAGAAGCTTCATTAATACAGTC